GTTGTCACCTAGGTTGGTCAAGAATCTATTCGATTTCTTACTTGGTGCAGACTTAGTCTTCCAGTTGATGTCAGGGTAGTTGAAGTCCCCCATTACTATTGTAGTGTGTTTCCTACATATATTTGTTAATCGGTTAGCAAAAAGTACATTATTTTTTCTGCTTGATTGGGTGGCCTGTAGTATACACCTATGGCAATGTCATTCTTTTTTTCTTTTATATTGACCATAAGCATTCTAGCGGTTTTTTGTCTTTGGTCTCATGCATTTCTGTAACAATATAGTGGTCTTTTACATATAGTGCAGCTCCACCTCCTCTTTTATGGGGTCTGTTTTTTTAACAGTTTGTATCCTTCTATCAGTATGTTCCATTCATGGGTTTCATCCCACCAAGTTTCATTAATTCATATTATATCATATCTACCTTCATGTATTAATAATTCAAGTTTACCTTGTTTGTTCCCCAAACTTTGAGCATTTATATATAGGCATTTGAGATCTTTATGTCTGACTCTGGGTATGCTTTCCATGTCTCCTATTTGGTATTTGAGTTTGTCTTCCTTCCCATCCCTCCTTGCCTCATTATTTGATTTATTTTCTAGGGGTTTTTGCTTGTAATTAGTCCTGGAGATCCTAAAGATTGGTCACCCTCCCCCCTCAGTTTTAGTTTAAAGCCCTCCTGATAAGTTGAGCCAGGCGTTTTTGAAAACATTCTTCCCAGTTTTTGTGAGTGCAGCCGATCGCTTGCCATCATGGACGTAGTGCAGACCATGGTCCAGGAATCCAAAGTTCTTTTGACGACACTAACCCTTTAGCCAGTGGTTCACTTCTAAAATCCTTTGTTCTCTTACCGGACGTTGACCTTTCATTGGCAGTACAGATGAAAAACTACTTGTGCACCTAACTCCTTGACCTTCTTGCCTAGCTGTTCGAAATCACTTGATATTGTTTTCAGGTCCATTTTTGTGTCATTTGTCTCTACATGTAGTAGTAGAAAAGGATAGTAATCTGTGGGTTTTATTATTTTGGTTAGGTTCTGAGGTGGACATGGTCTTTGCAGCATGAGTTTCTTCCCATATAAGATGGATCCTGGCCCCACCTGGCTCTTTCAGGAAGCTAGAAATAGAGTCAATAGCTAGGGTGATTAATATTATTTTGAGGGAGCAAGTGATGCCATATTCTCTCAATATAGCTATATTAAATCTTTTAAAATGAGTCATTTTAAACAGGGCTGCCAGACAATTATCTGCAATAGGAATAAAAAAACAACTTAAGTGTTACTGTTCTTTTCACCCCAGTGCAATTTTTAGTTTGAGCTCTTACAGTACTTGTGATTGTTTGGGTTCACTCTTGTCTTCCTCAAGTTATACTATAGCAGTGGTGGCGAACCTATGGCATGGGTGCCAGAGGTGGCACTCAGAGCCCTCTCTGTGGGCACACGTGCCGTGCCCCGGAGATGGCAAGGGAATGGCCCCTGCCGCCCTGGCCCCGCCCACCCAGTCTGCCATGACCACGGTGGTCATGCCCACCCGGCACCCAGTGATAAATAAGTGGGTTTTGGGTTGCAGTTTGGGCACTGGGTCTCTAAAAGGTTTGCCATCACTGTACTATAGGCATCTTTTGCTGTATTTCATTTCTTGGAATTCTTCAGAAAACCAGGGAGTGCCTGAGATTGACTTACAGCTAGAGGCCACATAGGACCAATCTGATCTGTGTTCTCATCATTTGTACCAATGAAGGAGAATATTTGTAGCTCAGGGTTGAAATGATGGTTCCTTGGTGCTCTCTGAGCTTGGTTGTTTTTTTGCAGATGTTTCATTACCCAAACTAGGTAACATGATCAGTGCTAGTCCTAGCATTAGTACTGATGATGTTACCTAGTTTGGGTAATGAAACGAAAACAACCAAGCTCAGAGGGTACCAAGGACCCCTGAACTCATCAGTGGGCCAATTTTTGGCAACAAGTAGAGCTGCAGCCTAACCATCCATTAAAGCTTCTACTTCCTCTGGAACCCAAGCTGTTTTGAGCAGATTGGATTAATAGGTCCTTTCTCCCTCTGGGAATAGGTGGCACCGGTAAGTTGAAAGGCATCAGCCAGTGATTTGGCCATGGTAGTGGGCTGACAGTAACGTCCTCCATACCCAGATCATGTCCCAGCTGTCCCAAGGTAAAAAAAAATAACAACCCAAATCTTTGGTATATGTCAGACTCTGAATTATTTGGATTAATTTCATGATCACCACAGTGCACAAGAACTGAGCTGCCTCACTTCAGTGTCACCCACTGTTGAAAACTGTATGCATTTGGTTGTTAAGCATGGACTAAATTCTAAACACATACAAAGACAAAGCAAGGCAAAAAACAAATAATTTCCGTTCCATACATTGCAGTCAATTTAGTTGATACTGTATTCTGATAGAATTAAGCTATAAGCATGATATTAAAAAATCTGTCTTCAAAGATAATGTAGTAGTGTAGTATTTAATCAAAGATATAAGCACAGATTAGATGAGACCTGGCTCAAAAACAGTAACTGTGAGAGGGACCTTGGAGTCCTAGTGGACGATCACTTGACTATGAGCCAGCAATGTGCAGCAGCAGCCAAAAAAGCTAATACAATTCTGGGTTGTACAAACAGGCATAGAATCAAGATCACACGAAATATTAATACCGCTTTATAAAACCCTAATGAGACCACACCTGGAATACTGCAACCAATTTTGGTCACCATACTACAAAAAAGATGTTGAGACCTTGGAAAAAGTTAAGAGAAGAACAACTTGGAGGCTTGGAGACTAAAACATATGAAGAATGGCTGCAGGACTTGGGTTTGGCTTGTCTAAAGAAAAGAAGAAATAGGGGTGACATGATAGTATTCCAGTATTTGAGGGGCTGCCACAAAGAAGAGGGGGTCAAATTATTCTCCAAAGCACCAGAGGGCAGGACAAGAAACAATAGTTAGAAACTGATCAAAGAGAGAAGCAACCTGGAATTATGGAGAAACTTCCTAACAGTGAGGACAATTAACCAGTGGAACAGCTTGCCTTCAGAAATCGTGGGCGCTCTATCACTGGAGGTTTTTAAGAAGAGACTGGACAGTCACTTGTCTGAGATGGTGTAGGTTCTCCTACTTGAGCGGGGGGGTTGGACTAGAAGACCTCCAAGTTCCCTTCCAGCTCTATTCTATTCGTAATGGAGGAGTTTAGTATTTAATGGAGTAGTTTAATATTAAGGTTAACTTAAATAACCCTAATATTATTTATTATTATTATTATTATTAATTGCATTTATATCCCGCCCTTCTCCTTTCGGACTCAGGGCGGCTGACAAATTAGATAAAATACTAACATATATACATATTATGCCTAATTAAAAATTTAATTAAAACGAAATATTTGAATATGTCCAATTAAAAGTAATTAAAACCCCTATAAAATCCCCTAGGCCAGTCCCGCTTGCTGGAACAACCACATCTTGAGGGCGCGGCGGAAGGAAGGGAGATCAGGGATCACCCTGATCTCTGGGGGCAGTTCGTTCCAGAGGGTGGGAGCTCCCACAGAGAAGGCCCTCCCCCTTGGGGTCGCCAGCCGGCACTGCCTGGCCGACGG